AGAGCAAACCTCCCTGTACTTAGAAGACACTGACTTTTGCATTAGTTTCAAAAGGCAGTCCAAAAGAGTGCTGTTTCAGATGATTTCTATAAGTTTGTAAATAATTAATTCTATTCACTTTGCTTTGGGTAGAATAGCATTGTGTCGAGCATTGTAAAGATCATATGCTCTCATAAAAACAACCAGCTTCCAGTTAAGTATAAAAGGAAAATAAGCATATCTTTCATTTTTTAAAATAACTGAGGGTTGATTATAAAGGCAATAAAAAATTATATGTTAATATTATTACATATCATATAATATATGGTATTTTATTATATATTATATATTAATATTATTGTATATTATATAGCTATTATATATTAATGCACACCTAATTTGTTTTTAGTATTCCCAACAAAGGGAAGTATAGAATCTTAATGCATGTGCAAGTGAAATTAGTTGTATATATTTGCCAAAGGTCAGTTACCTAGTTTCTGAAGATAGATTAATGATCCTGGACACTATATTGAGTTTGCCATAACATGGACATAGATTATCATAAAATCATTCCTGGTTCAATCCTCAGTACCAAAAAGCATTTTTTATGATAATTAATTTGAACTGTTTCATATCTTAGGTCTGAAATTATTAATTTTAACCACTAAAGCACAGGAACTTTTATTTCATTTTATAGTAGTACTGGGAATTGAGCCCAGTACCTCACACATGCTAAGCAAGTGTTCTACCACTAGGCTATATTCCCAGCCCTTATTTATTTATTTATAAATTTTGAGATAGTTGCCTGATTTGGAACTTTTTTAATAATAAATTTTTATGAATTTATTACTTAATATTTTCTTTAGCATTTTTGGTGCTATATATGCAATTTTAAAATGTTCAAAATGTTACAAACATATGATCATTATGTAAAGATTGAAAAATACAGTTAAAGGAAAACATAGTTATGTTATCCTCTATTATCTGGATCTAACCCAGGACATGCTCTACCACTAAGTCATATCCCAGGCACTCCACTTATTTCTAAAGCTCACTTTTGTAGTTTTCTTTTCCTGTATACCGCCAAGAATTGTTTTTCTCAATCTAAACATAATTTCATACACTTAATTTTACAATTACTTATTGAGCAATTAAACATTTCCACTTCTAATAACAAGAATTTTCTAACCTGCTGAATGGAGTTTAGACTTCATGCAAACAGTTATACAAAATAAAGTCTGTTTTCTACACACACACACACACACACACACACACACACACACACTCCCTAAACCCATCCAAATAGTTGTAGTAAAATTAATAAAAACTGGGGACAGAGGAAAAAACAGAGAATAGCTTCACTGAATGGGGAAGGAAAGCTGTTGTTTTTCATGCAGATCAACTTTTCCTCCAAGTTGACACACTTTGGTATGATCAGAACAAACTGTCCAAATCTCGGTTTTCCCCTTTTGGGATCAGAGAAAAGAGGGGAGTGTAGCTCCAACATTCTGGTTTTCAGGGAAATTATTTCTGTCTCCTGTGACACAGAGAGCTGAAGACATATTTTGGATAATTAGGCACACTGAAAAAGAGGAAGAATTGTTGAATACCAGAAAACCTACAGTACACACACCAGTTGGAGGATGGTTTGGAACTTTTGATTCTACTGCCTCAGCTTCCTGAATAACTAATATTACAGGCATGTCACTATCCTGGGCATGAATTTTAAACAGATTTTCCTTATAGTTAATTGCACTTGTTTTTATATCCATCCAGTTAACTGAAAAAGGAAAGATAAAAATAAGGTCAAATGAGTGATTCAACAAGGTCAGGTAGTAGGATTCATAACAATCTTGGTAATATTTTAGACTTAGTTACACAAATTACTAGGTATATTTAATTTTCTGTAGTTACTTAATGGAGCCAGAAGCAGGGCTCACGAAAATAGTAACTATATGTGTTTGTATGAATCCTTAAGGATTTTATAAAACAAATAGGAGATTGATCAGTTGACATCTTTTTTACAGTATATTTTCTTAGTAATTGTAGAACAATATAGATTTTAAAATAATATTCATCTAGCCAATAATTTATTGAGTACCTAAGTGATAACTAGGATTAAAGCTTCTGTCCTTGTGGCTTAATTTGAAAATGAGGGTTCCATTATCTTTTTTTCAAGAGTTTTGAAAGAAAGATTTAAAACATTCTGTTTACATTTACTAGAATTTATAAGCCACCCTAGGAACTTAAAATGGGAGATCATTGTGTTCTTTCTGCTTAAAATTTTTTTATTAAATAGCTGTTTTCCTCATGTGTTATTCATGATTTTAGAGGTCAAAGGGAACAAAACAAAACTATAAGCTTTGTGGTGAGAACATTCAAACTGTCTATCTTGATAATTTTGAAATGTACAATACTGTTATTGACTATATTCACCAATCTGTTCAATAGACCTAAAAGGGAAACATATTCCTCTTAGGAGATTTTGTACTAATTTGACCATCATCCCCATGCTCCAGTCTCTACTTCTATAAATTCATTTTAGATTCCACATATCAATGAGAACATTTGGCATTGTCCTTCTCTACCTGACATTTCACTTAGCATAGTTATTTGTGGTAATAGTTAATTGACTTGATTTAATTATTCCACACTGTCTTTATAAATCATGACATCATTTTGTACCCTATAAGTGCAATGAATATAAATTGTCAATTTACAGTAAAAAAAAAAAAAAGGAAAAAGGAGAAAGGTAAAACACCTATTGCACATGTGTTCTACATGTTCTTAAACCCCACACCATTTCACAGGCTGAGAAATTCTTTTGAATTAAAAATTTTCTAAATGCACTAAACACTTCCTGTGGTGACTGACCTAGAGATTCACCCAGGACTAGTGGACTGTTCGCTGCAGTTCATTAGTCATTTCTGTGTAGCTAAATTAGTACTAACTACAAATGAAACAAGTTATTGGTATTGGTTACAATATCAGTTTTACCCCATGTCTACCATACATTGAATTCCACACACTGATGGGAATCGTAATAGTTTTAGGACTGTAGCTTCATAAAGTATATATTACATTGTCTGTATCATGTCCTTTAAAAAAATCTTCTAATGTTCTAAAACTACAGTACACTGTGGAACCAATTTTAAAAATGCATGTAGTTGAAAGACTCATGAGGATTGTTTTGGATCTGTGTAAATAAAATATTTCTAGCACTATGCAATGTAGTAGCTCAAAAATTACTTAATCATGATAAAATTTTACAACACTAACTCTCCCAGCAATAAACTATTTTTAGATTCCTAAAGTGATTTTTTTTTTTTTTTTTGCACCTGGGATTTAACCCAAGGGCACTCACTGAACCCACTGAGTTACATCCCCAGTCCCAGCCCTAGGACAGATTTGTTTTTGAGTAGAAAGCAATATTTATTTATCTTTCTTTAGATTTCTTTAGATTAACTTTCTTTATTTAGATTTATCTTTTAGATTTATTTATCTATCTAAAGAAAGATATCCATAAACATTATCTATCCAAAAACATTGAAATTTACATCAGAATATTTTTTCCTCTGTAACCAATAGCATTAAATGTCTCTTTTTATCCATTGAGTTCTGTGTCTCAGATACTAGGATTCACAGGGGCTAAAAAATAAGATATGCTTTTTGCCACTGATGAGTTTACAGTATTGCAGGAGAGAGAAAAATATCAATCACTGATATGGTTTAATTAACTCTATGCTAGGGGAACATGTCATAGATAAGGCCCCCCACTTCAGCTTCAGGATAAGGTAGTTGTTCTGATCTGTTTTCAGCCAGCACATATTGAACAGTTACTGAAAGGTTTACTTGACAACTTGTTCCTTAAGCTGATCCTAGCAGGATACATAAAAGATGCCTAGACTTACTTTGCCCATCATGAAACAAATACTTTCTGACCTTTGCAAGTTATTTGATCTTTCTCTGCTTTATTGTACTCATCTGGGAAAATAACACCTATCTCTCAGGGCTGTGTTAAGGTAACTGTAAAGCATGCTTGCTACAAATTTTGTGTCAATAAACATATCTCTTGAGGATGTAGGGGGAAAGGAATACATATACATTGTTGGTGGAAGTGGAAGTGCAACCACTATGATGATCAGTGTGAAAGTTTATCAAAAGACTAGTAATGAGGGGCTGGGGGTGTGGCTCAAGCGGCAGCGCACTAGCCTGGCGTGCGTGCGTGCGTGCGTGCTGCCCGGTTAGATCCCCAGCACCACATACAAACAAAGATGTTGTGTCCGCCTAAAACTAAAAGAGAAATATTTTAAAAAATTCTCTCAAAAAAATGTTAAAAAAATATTTTAAAAAGACTAGTAAGACTCCTTGGTATTTATTTCAAAAGAACAAGTCATGTTTTCTCTCATATGTGGAAACTAGAGAGAGAAAGGGGAGTAAAGAAGAGAGGTGAAGTAAACTGATAGAGAAGAAGGATATTAGGGGGAGGAAGAAGAGAAAAGGTGAGGGAAGTATTGAGGAATGAAACTGAACAAATTGTGTTTTGTGTGTGTATGAATGTCATAATAAATCCCATTATTATATATAATTATAATGCATCAATAAAAAATTAATAACCTATATATCTCTTCCCCAATTAGATATGGTCCAGTTCTCCACTAACCTTCCCCAGTAATATGTTAATTTGGGGAATAAGGAATTAATAGAGAAGTAATGATTGGTGTATTTAGTTCAAAAGCACCCTTCCTTATAAATCTCTACTCTCAAATATTTTTTCTATTCCCTCTTTTCTCTTTTAAATCTATATTTAATAGTCAACTGAACTCAGAAGCATAATGCATGTATACATTTTGTATTTCACTTTCTATGGTATATGTAAGCATTTTTAATTGTTAGAATCACTTATCAACAATTATTTTACAAGGGGAAAAATGAATCCTTTTGAAACTTCATTTCTCAGGGGTAGTGGTAAACCTATATAATGCATTTTTAAACCAAATTATTCATGTCTTGGAGTTCAGTCTTTGTTTATTCTTTATTAAAGCAGTGAATTATCAGTTGTTCCAATGCTATAATGATCAGGCAACATTGGAAATTAAATCCCAGAGCAGTGCACTGTTAGTTTGATCAGCAGATATGAAGCCATCCCACAAGCCATCATTATGTATTTTCAACAGCTTCCTAATCTATTTTTCCAACTACCTTTTTGGGAAATATCCCAAGATAATTTACTAGACAAGTGCATCTATCTTCTAAAAGACATTTGGAATATTTCCCCTGAGATACTATAGAGAAAATAATTAGACAATTTAAACAAAGAAATAAATAGGCTAAGGATGAAAGCAATCTAGAAACTGGCACTGAGTCACAGTGCTGTAGCTTCATTAAAAAGCTAGCTCTGCCTCACCACTTTATTGAAAGCCAGGAGTTATTTTGTTAAATTCTTCCCGTTAAATACACTGTTACAACACCTCAAAAGTACAAATTATCACAATCTTTTAAAGTGACAATTCATAGGGGGATTTCTGTATCCTCTGGTATGTAGATGAAGCAAATAGTCATATTGTTGCTCTCTTTACATTCCACCGCTTCATTCCGTGCACCGTTTTAATCCGTCCACATCCAGAACATAGCAGCAACCGCACTTTGTGGAATAATAGAAAGAGCACCTTTACATCATCCTGATCCAGGGATTTTAACATTTTGGGCAGATCTGCCATCGCTCCCATGTCCTCTTTTCTCCCTCCGTCTCTGGTGGAGCTGGGCGTGAATACCCAGAGCTTTCGTTTGCACATGCCTTGCTGTGCAAAAATACATCGTCGTTCCCAGCTCACACCCACCTCAAACCTCCTCCTTTGGTCTTCAGTCTTCTGGTTTGGCGTTTCTCCTCTAGGGTCTACCACCCTTATCTAGGGTTCAAAGGAATCTCTTCCGAGGTCTGTGGGGCAAAAGTACCCACTGTCCTGCGCCCAAACGCCAATCCCTGTCACCTCCAGCTCCAACCCCAGAGTCATCCATTGGAAGATTCCTAGGAACCTGGGGTCCTTCAAGATTTTCACATTCACTTTACATCAGAAAATCCTGAAGCGTAAAGGACACCAGCTACTTCACATAATCTTAAATCTCAGCGATCCATTTGCCCCACCCCTCTGCTTTTGGCTTCACGGTGAATGTCGAGGGTAGGATTCGGATTTTTTTTTTTTAAGTATATGAATTTATTCCGGGTTGGCTCCTCCTTCTTCTGGGAAGTGGAGTTTCTGAGAAAGGCTTGCAGGCTTTGTGCCGCTCCACGTACGCAGCCTGCATTAAATTAGGTGGGGGTAGGGTACTGGGGGTAAAAAAGTCATTGTGGAGGCTGGGGGAACTTGCAATCAGTCCCCAGCAGCCGCGCGCAGGTACTCTGCGACCTCGCGGTGGCCCAGCTCCTCAGCCAGGTCCACCGGAAGGCGGCCCCAGGCGTCGCGCACATCCAGCCGCGCCCCTGCCCGATGCAGCGCCACCAGCGTGTCCAAGAAGCCCTCCCGGGCCGCGTCGTGCACTGGTCGGGTGAGGGTAGCAGGGTCAGCGCAGTTGGGTTCTGCGCCGTGGAGTAAGAGCAGCTCCGCCACGTGGGTGCTGCCCATCATCATGACCTGCGGTAAAGAGCAAAGTGGTCAGGGCGCGAGAGCAAGCAGAGAGATACCGGCTGGGGCGGGGCAGGTAGAGCCATTTTAAAGAAGAATGTACCATTTGTGAAGTATCCAACAAAATGCAGAAGTGCGTACAAGTCTCAGGCGTCTGGTTTCTCTCCATTTGCTGATGTAATCCATAACCCCACCCACCCAAGTTATACTCAGCTCAAATTAAATTCCATTTTATTCTTCAAACGTGCTGAGACAAGAAAGAGCTAAAGGTAAAGTGATTATCACTGTGGAAAAAAAAAAACCTCTTGATTGTCATTGGGACAGGGGAATTTATTTGGTTAAATAATTTATGGGTGGAGTTGTTTAAGACTTTTAAAGTATTAAATTGCTTCAGTTGTTGCTCCCCTATCCGTCACCAATCCAGGTCTAAAAATATTTAGTAGGTTATCAACTGGTAGTTTTTAGAAGTTGAAGTAGTTTTAGGGGGAAAAATAAGAAACAACTAAGTTTTACATTGTTTATTTCTCTTAGCAAATTCCTGTGAAAGGCTTTTTAATTTTTTCATTGTTATATATGCCCGTACTCAGACTGATTGTAGTCTGATAATTTGTGCCCAAATTGGAGATTAGAAGGGAAGAAGTAAATCAAGCCATACCTTGGATCTTATAAGATGAAAGCAAATGATTTGCTTTAATTTTCACCATATTTAATATTTTAAGTTAACATTATTTCCATGAGCTAAAATTTAGAGTGTAATATATTTAATGTAGCAACATTAAAACTGCATTTACATTTATAATGTTAAGTAGTATATATTCTGCTATATTAAAAAATACTTTGAATGTTAGCAGTAAAAGTAGAACTTGCATAGCTTAGAAACAATGATGTTTTTATTTTGGAGGAGTAATCCTAGTAGCCATTATGTACATGTACATTATGCAAGCATTTGCTTTTATATTCAAAGATAACAAAAAATGATTTTTGGTAACTGAATGTCCAAAACACAGTTATTTGTTCTTGTAGGTCTAATGTGTTTTGAAATGTACCTTGTAATAAAAAGGCAGTGTATTTGTAATATTTGTGTTTTACAGTTATTAGAAATATTCATTTACTCTTTTTAAAACTATGATAACTAAGTTATTTCTACAAATGATGTAAAGGCTATTTTGATGCAGAGAAGAAGGGGGGAAAGTAGTTTTTAGTATCCCAGAAAATGACAATTTAATATAAATAAGAAAACTTGCTTTAAAATTATTAATAAAAGTTTAAGTCATTAAGAACCATTTTAAAGTATGTTTGCTGCTTTAAAATATCTCTCATTTGTTATACCACTTTTCTAATAATTTAAAAACAATGAACATTTTCTTAAAAACCACAATATTAACAAGATCTCTTAATATTAGCTTAGTGCTAAAGTGTGATGGTGAGATGAATACCAAACATGACCACAATAGTTAACGATGAAGTATGAAAGCATTATCTTAGATTTTTAAAAAAATCTAAAAAAAATCAATACTAATTAAATCAGCGTTAGTAAACTTTGAATAACTGTACCTTAACAATGAAAAGGCAATCATCTATGAAAACCCCTAGCTATTCTAAAAGGACCTAATAGCTGCTATAGAAATGCTTTTGTAACCCAAGCTTTGAGTATGACAAATAATAATAATAATAATAATAAACTAAAGAAGTACATTTTTTCCTACCATGCATCACTCAAGAGATACTGCTAATGTAAAATAAAAGGAATTAAATACTGTGGTTGGGAATTCTGTCTCACTCCTCTAAATTCAACTCCTCTCTATGAGGGAAAAATATAAAAGATTTTATACAGTGGCTTAAAGTTCACAGTGAATTCTTTCATGCACTATGATTTTGTTAATTCCTTAAATTCAATCCAGATTGTGTAACCTGGAATTTACTTATCTTTATTCTGGAAAGTAGACAAACAAAACAGTCTTCCCTAATTGGCCTTTCCTTTCCCCGTTTCCTCCCAGTTGAATTTCTTCATTGCATCTCTGATCATGAGATGCAGAGCAAATATTGATATTTTCCACTATAAAAAAGAAAAGCGAGGATTATAGATGCAGCTCAGTCATAGTGTACTCGCCTAGCATTCACCAGGCCTGGAGTTTGATTCCCCAGCACCGCAAAGGAGAAAAAGAAAACCAAACTGAAGTAGTGGTTTGTTCAAACTCTACTTTTTTTTTTCTTTAGGATTTTTCCCCCCCTGGGTAAAATCCTGCCCTGCACCTGCTTCAGCAAGAGAGCCAGAAACAGCTGCCCAGGTCTGTGTCGGTGGAGATCTGTCTGGGTCGCGGCCCAGACTCGCGGAAGGCTCGCCGCGCGCTCGCGCGCCCCCTGCCGGCAGGGCCCCGGGGCCCCAGCTACCTGGATCGGGCGCCTCCCGAAGCGGTTGACTCCATTGGGATCTGCACCGGCTTCTAGGAGCTGCCGCACCTTCTCCAATTGTCCCCGTGCCGCGGCGTTGGCCAGGCCCGCATCGCTGCTGTTACCACCGAGCATGCCCTTGTCCTCCTCTCGCATTCCTCAGCCTCCAGACACCGAGCAGTTCGAATAATCCACCGCTGGCGGTGAGTTTAGCGACCCTCCACGGCGTTCCACACCGCTGCTGCGCACTCCACCCTCCTCAGGAGAGCAAGGCTTAGCTTCAACCCCCTGTCGCTATCCTGAAGTTTGCGGCCGGTGCAATGATCGAGTGGCTGGTGGTTAGACCTGAGTTGTTTTCTGGAGCCGGAGAACCAGCCGACGCTCGTGGCTTGCTCCTGGGAAAAAGCGTCTGGCGCGACTGCAGCCTGACTCTGGCAGTGTGGGGAGCCAGCTGCGACTGAATTCGGTTTCCAGCTGGGCGGCGGGGCCGGCTCTCCCCGCCCCCCTAGGCTCCGCCTCCAGCCGGGCAGGCCAGCGCGGGCTCGTCCCTGGGGTTGGGGGAGGCGTCCAGAAGCTGGCAGATGGCGTCATAGGCGATGGGGGCGGTGGTTTAGGGCTGGTGGGGGGTGGCGGAGGGAGGCGGGCAGCGGGCGCAGAAGATCCTAGGATTGCTGAGCGAGAGATCCTGTGAAGGCACCTCCTGGAACCCTCGCCGCTCTGCTGGCTCGGTGTCCGGTAAAGTGAAGGCTACGTGTTTGGAAATATTGACCCACAGCGCTCAGCTCCTAATCCCCAGCAGGCGGAGCAGTGGACTTCCATTCCTTTAGTCATAGGCCTACCGGTCTGGAGACATTAGTGGCTGCATTGCAATGGAGTGGCTGAGAGAAAACCTTTGAAAATAACTCCTACTTTCTTAAGATGCCTGAAGGTGACAGCTCTGCACCTGTCCTGGAGGGTGAATTCACCCCCAGGCAGTACTTGAACTTCACGAGTTTCACATCGTGCAGTAACCTTAGCAATTTTCTTTTGGGTGTGTCTATTTGAATTAGTCATCCAGAAAAATAGTGAAAAATTCTGAGAATCCTGTTCCGCGCGTGCTTTTAATTTTTAATCTTTGAATTGTTAATATGGTTCTGAAATAAATAATTTTCTTTTTAGAAAAGAGATCAAGACTAGAAACCTGGCATAGGTAACACGTACATACAGATGCATTTTAAGAATCCGAAACTCCTGCTGACGCTTGCCCGAAGTTCCAGCTACTCAGGAGGCTGGGACAGGAGGATCACTTGAGTCCCAGAGTGCCAGGTGCGCCTGAGCAAGTAGAATGACCCCATCTCAAACAACCACGAAACACCTAAGATCTGTTTCATGATATTTGTGAGATATATCTTTGCCCTCAAACCTATTTAAACCCACCTCAGCGTGTGTTTGATTTTTATTTACCATGACTAATAAGGACATTTATGCAGTAATAATGAAACATAATAAAACATGGGTGTGGTACTGGGACTGTCATTAAACTGGCTGAACCTGTCATTAAATCCACTTTTGAAGATTTAAAGATCACTTCTTCCTAATCTTCATAAGTGAGTTTGAACCAACACACTTATTGCTTTGACAACTTAAAATAGTACAAGTGATACTACATTGAAATAGGAAGATAATCACAAGTTATGCATCTGAAGTCAAAAACTCTGGTGAGGAACTACTTGGCAGCGGATTTCTCCTAACACCAAGAAGTTATTTACAAAATAAGTTCAGAGTCCTGAGAAAGATGAGTCTCAAAGAGAGGTCCTTTGCTTTCTTATTCAAAAAACAAGAGACTTCAGAACACATTTCTTCTAGCTTGGACTTCCCCTTTAAAAATCAGGGAAAGCTATTTCCTTGAGACAGAGGGGCACAGAAGTGGCATTTGGGGAGGAAGATCTATTGACTCAAAGGGGCTAAAATTCACCTTTGACACAGTAGGGCAAGAGATACAGTTATAATTTCTCTCTTTCCTACCCTATTTCTTAGTTTCTGGGTTCCTCTACCTGTCTCTTATTTGAACTTCCATATTTATCTGGAGAAAATGCCCTTTAATTTGTTTATGGCCATCCCATTCTTAGGTTTGGACAGAAGAATAGACATCTACCTCTGGGTGAAAAACATAGATGCACTCTTTCTGTCTTACTTGAGATCTAGTCCCCATGGACAGAGTATTGAGAATTACAGGTGTGTAGGTAGACAGGAGAAGGAAGAAGAAAGATGGGTAGTTGGAAGTCAGAGCATTTGAGATGAGTAGCATTGGTATTTTGTCAGTAATCTGAGAGGCTGACTCTCCAGACTTATGTTAATGAACTTAGTCCAGGACATTTTCATCAGAAAATCCAAGCTACTCCACAATTCAGTGCACATTCATGTGTAACATAGGCTGACTTTCAAGAAATGTTGTTGGGATCTTCTCTCTAATGGAGTCAAGAATTAAGTTTAGTTCAACAAAATTTAGTTCAACAAAATTTAGTTCAACATGTCCTATATTCTACGTGTGCAGAGTTGAGTAAGATATGGGACCCTAGTTTTTAAGAAAGTCTCTGTAGTGGCACTTGGAACTGATGGAGAATTTCTATGTAATATGAAAATTTTACTGAGATATATCAACAGGGTACTTGGAGACTAAAGTTGAAGGAAGCAACTCAGGGTGAAGGAACTTTTAGAGGAGGCTTCTTTCAAGGATGCATCAGAAATAAACTGTTTCCTCTCACCGTACTTTGAGCTCTGGATTTCTCTGCAGTTTATCAAAAAAGACCAGGAAATGATAATCTGAACCAACTTTTTAAGTGGTAGACATGGCCAATGCATCTGAGGGAAAAACCATTTGAAGTTGATAAGAAAGTGGAAGAGATCTGTTTGTGTTTGACAGGGATAGAAGAAAAGCATGGTAAGGCGGGGTGGGGGAGCTTTTTCCGAGGTAGATATTTAAGTTTTCCTAAACAAATTGACCCAAAAGAAATTTGGGCGGGGGAAATGTTGCTAGGGGCATTTGTGATCGCTAGCACCATGGACAGCGCCTCCTCTGTTCATACTTCTGGGTGGTCCTAAACAGCTCCAAATGGGGAATTCTAGAATTTCAAATTTGATCCTTCAATGCCTTTTCCTCCCTCCCTTCAAATAAAAAGGAAGCCACAAAAAGGTCAATGGACACTTTTTAAAAATTTTTTTTAACCAAACCAATCTGCCCAACCTGGTTTCCAAATATTATTGAGTTACCTAATATTCTTTCTAAGGTTTAATAAACATTTTCTATACTTAAGAGAGGAAAAATCACACTTGTTGTATGCCTCATATCCAGCACCTTAGAAGTGCTATTTTATTAAAATAGTATTTTAAAAAGTTCTATTTTATTTAAAACTATGCAGTATGCATTAGTACCTTAATTTTACAGATAGCATCTAAGGATCAGAGAAGTTAAGAAACTTGTAGACTACCTAACCGTGACTTCAAAGCCTCTGTTCTTTACATTAAATAGAGTACAGCAGCAGTGTTGCTAGGGTAAACTGGGGGGAGGGTGACAATAAACTCTTATAATTATTTTCTCCTCTGTGTTTTCCAGATGGCTCACCTCACAGCACACCCTTAGTAGACTTCAGTGATGACGTTTCACATGTAATACAATAGCACATTTGTATTATACAATAGAGTGAGATAATGAAACATTGTACCTCTCCCTGAAGCCCAGCTGTCTCTATGATGAAGCACAACCTGTCATTAATGCTTGAAACACATTTAGGAGATTAAATGGATGGGAACACAGTTGAAACTTATAATTGTCACAGCTGTGCCTTTTAATAGGGTGGAGAATTTTCAAGTGAGAAGAAAGAGAAAGTAAATGGTAAGCTGACTTTGAATTTTAAAGAGGAAATGAATAGAATCAGTTCTAATATTGTACATAATGCAGATTACTTGAGATGATGTTTATGTTCTACTTTGTGACACTAGATATGAACTCATATAGAAGTATGAATAGAATTAGTTAAGTGGCTAAGAGAATTAGTGACATTATTATGCTCTCATTTGAGTGTTCTATCATGTGTGGTTGGCAATTCAGAATTACTTTGGGTTTTTTTCAAATTATATATGACCCATCTCCTTTCCAAGAGTCTTGATTATCTCCATTTTAGCAGTTGAAAATTATTGCCCCATCATCTTCTCTAGCAATTAGAGAAATGCAAATCAAAACTACTCTAAGATATCATCTCACTCCAGTCAGAATGGCAGCTACTATGAAGACAAACAACATTAAGTATTGACAAGGATGTGGGGAAAAGATACACTCATACACTGCTGGTGGGACTGCAAGTCAGTACAGCTAATATGGAAAGCAGGATAGAGATTCCTTGGAAAGCTGGGAATGGAACCACCATTTGACCCAGCTATCCCTCTCCTCAGACTATACCCAAAGGACTTAAAAACAGCATACTACAGGGACACAGCCACATCAATGTTTATAGCAGCACAATTCATAATAGCTAAACTGTGGAACCAACCTAGATGCCCTTCAGTGGATGAATGGATAAAAAAATGTGGCATATATACACAATGGAATTTTACTCAGCAATAAAAGAGAATAAAATCGTGGCATTTGCAGGTAAATTGATGGCGTTGGAGAAGATAATGCTAAGTAAAGTTAGCCAATGCCCCCAAAACAAATGCCGAATGTTTTCTCTGACTCATAATGGGGTAGGGAGAGGGATCATGGGAGGAATAGATGAATTCTAGATAGGGAAGAGGGGTAGGAGGGAAAGGGAGGGGGCAAGGGATTAGCAAGGATGGTGGTGGAATGTGATAAACATCATCATCCAAAGTACATGTATGAAGACACGAATTGGGTGTCAACATACTTTATATACAGAGATATGAAAAATTGTGGTATATATGTGTAATAAGAATTATAATGTATTCCACTGTCATTTTTTCCATTTACAACTAAAAACTTTTTATTTTATTTATTTTTTTATTATTAGTTGTTCAAAACATTACATAGCTCTTGACATATCATATTTCATACATTTGATTCAAGTGGGTTATGAACTTCCATTTTTACCCCGTATACAGATTGCAGAATCACATTGGTTATACATCCACGTTTTTACATACTGCCATACTAGTGTCTGTTGTATTCTGCTGCCTTTCCTATCCTCTACTATCCCCCCCTCCCCTCCCCTCCCATCTTCTTTCCCTACCCCATCTATTGTAGTTCATTTCTCTCCCTTGTTTTTTTCCCCTTTCCCCTCACTTCCTCTTATATGTAATTTTGTATAACGATGGGGGTCTCCATCGTTATACAACGATGCAATTTCCCTTTTCTCTCCCTTTCCCTCCCACCTGTTTAATGTTAATCTTCTTCTCATGCTCTTCCTCCCTGCTCCGTTCTTAGTTGCTCTTCTTATACCAAAGAAGACATTTGGCATTTGTTTTTTAGGGATTGGCTAGCTTCACTTAGCATAATCTGTTCTAGTGCCATCCTTTTCCCTGAAAATGCCATGATTTTGTTATTTTTTAGTGCTGATTAATATTCCATTGTGTATAAATGCCACATTTTTTTTATCCATTCATCTATTGAAGGGCATCTGGGTTGGTTCCACAGTCTAGCTATTGTGAATTGTGCTGCTATGAACATTGATGTAGCTGTGTCCCTGTTGTATGCTCTTTTAATATCTTTTGGGTATAGTCCAAGAAGGGGAATAGCTGGGTCAAATGATGGTTCCATTCCCAGCTTTCCAAGGAATCTCCATACTGCTTTCCAAATTGGCTGAACCAATTTGCAGTCCCACCAGCAATGTACAAGTGTGCCCTTTTCCCCACATCCTCACCAGCACTTGTTATTGTTTGATTTCATAATGGCTGTCATTCTTATGGGAGTGAGATGGTATCTTAGAGTGGTTTTAATTTGCATTTCTCTGATTGCTAGAGATGGAGAGCATTTTTTTTTGTGTGTGTGTGTGTATTTGTTGATTGTATATCCTCCTCTGAGAAGTGTCTGTTCAGATCCTTGGCCCATTTGTTGATTAGGTTATTTGTTGTTTAATTTTTTGAGTTCTTTGTATACTCTGGATATTAGAGCTCTATCTGAAGTGTGAGGGGTAAATATTTGTTCCCAGGATGTAGGCTCCCTATTTACCTCT